GCTCTTTGGTAAGAATGGAAAGTCCTGAGAGCCGGTATGAGAGTCTGCTCCCCGGGAGGCGATAGCATCCCAAAGTCTACCAGGATTTTAGGTTCATCCACAAGACTGTTTTTTATACAAAGAAGACCAGTAAGTCACATCAAAGGGCCGAACAAGATCCTGGGCAAAGCAGCTGTGTGAACCAAGTTTAAAAAAAAAAGATAATAGAAAGCTAAGGAACGCTGCAGAAATGGCGAGAAAAGACAGAGACGCAAAGGAGGAATAAGACGGGAGGAGGGAGTCAGAGAGGGAGGGGAGAGAGGAGAAAGCTGAGCGCGGACGTCAGGAACAAAAGCTCCAGCGGAGTCTGGCGGAGGCACTAAGGGAGCATGGGGTGTTTTGAATAATTATTAAAATTAGCATGTGTCTGCGCCATCCTGTGGGTGTGGCGCACAGCGGAGTGTAAACTCTGGCGGGGCTGGAGCAAACATTGGATTAGCGGCAGCAGCTTGCCAGCCTGCCCGAGGAGTGAGGACCAGCGCGCGGCACGCCGACCTGCACGATGGCCTCGTCTCAAGGGAAGAACGAGCTGAAATTCGCCGACTGGATGGAAACTCTGCCGGAGAGCATCCACAGCATTCCCCTCACCAATTTAGCCATCCCAGGTAGGCGCGCAGAGGCTGCCGACGGGGCGCTCGGCGCCCGCTTCACCTGCCCCGCCCTACTTTATCTGCCACTAAGTGGTAACTTGCCTCGATGCCCGCGGTAGGGAAACTCGTCTCCAGGGGTGGGTCTCGGGCCAGGCAAGTGCGTGCCTGGGAGCATCCGGCCTCCTGGCGTTTTTCAAATCTCTGGGGACTGTGGCGCGGGGAGTCAAGATGACTGCTTTTCCAATGGGCTTTTGAAGCAGGTTGTATGAGAAGGCTGGGGCAGGGGAAAGGCTTGGCTCTAGGATGGTCCCTCGCGTCCCTCTCCCACGGTTTTCCCCGAAGACTTGGGGTTGGGGGTGATTTCTGGGGCAGTGGGGTGGTAGTGAGCGGTGAGCGCAAGCTGCTGTCCTAAGGGCTCGGCTCCGGCTCGTGGACCTCTGGACTCCATCCCTGTCACTGAATCAAGCTGATTTGGTGTATTTCTCGGTTAGAATCTGCCAGAGTCATTAATATTCGTCCCTAGTCTCCTTTAAAGAGACAAAGCGCTTCCCGAAGAGTGATGAAAGTTCAGGGACCGGCGGCGGCGTGATCGCTGCCCTTGACCTGGAGCTGAAGGGGAAGAGGGGCGGAGGGCGCTGTTTTCTGATCTGCGTGGCCCTAGAGGGCCTGGCTAGGTGGCCACCGTCTGGACTCTGGTCCAAGGGCTCTTAGCAATGTATAGCGCGCGGGTCAGGAAAGCAAACCCTCGTGGACCATACATTTGTTGCTCGGGATAGAAGCCCGGCAGGGGAACCAGCGTGGGCAGCGGCAGAGGGGTGGAATTAACAGGTAAACCTTAGGGAAAAGATGATTGTGCCAGTGTCCAGGGAGGCTAGAAGGCAGGAAGCCTGGGCAAAGCGAGGAAGAGACTGGAGGGATCCAGGGGCTTCAGCATGGCGCGCACGGCTGGCACTAGAGGAGAAGGCTGGTTTCTGGGGCAGGAGCGCGCAGCAGACCCTAGTTCAGGTGTGCAGGAGGGAGGGTCGTTTCAGGGCAGTGTAATACTACGGTGACAGCTGGGGACACAGCTATACTTCGTTGACTTTCACTTGGGCTGATGCTGCAGATGCCTGACCCCTCCAGGACTCAACTGGAGGGCAAATTACGGATAGGTAGTCCACCCCCTGCCCCAGGTTGAGCCCGGTTATCAAGTTTAACCTTCCAGTCTATCTCTCTAGATCTGCCCCCATCCAGCGCCCCCTCTCAGACACTGGGGGAAATCATAGTTTTTGAAAAAATTTTTTAAAAAGGAAAAGCCCCCTCCCTGCCAAATCCCAAGAGTCTCTAACCAGCAGCGCTGGAACTGATTAGTAACTCAAATCAATGGCCATGAGTCAAGTGGATGTTTGGCGGTTATGGTAGCCACAGGCTGCACTCTGAGCACCAGTCATGGAAGGGAAGGGTTTGTCTTCTCTTGCCCTTCTTCAAGGGGTAGCTTCCCAAGAGCCCAAGTATCTCCAAGGAAAAGGACAACCTAGCTTCTCCACTCTGCATGTACCCAGCTCCCGGGGTAAGCCTAGGGATTGCTCTTTTGAAGGAGATAATAGAAGGTACACAACTTTGTTTGCAAAATTCCACTCTCACTTCTATCCTTTTTTCCTCCTTCTTCTTTTTTTTTTTAGACAGTTACTTTCACATGGTCTCACCTGAGCACTTATGCATACATAAAAGGTTCAGGGCAAGGCTTGGATGCCAGCCTTCTGATAGGTAGCTCTCCAGAGACAAAGTGAGGTTTAAAACCTAAGTTCACATTGTGAGTTCTGAGGGATGGTGTGACACCATGTCTGAATCTATCTTAACGTTTTTAGCGTGCTTCACTTTTCATAGCCCTAGTATGTACCCCAAATCACATACTCCTTCCCCAAACCTTGTGAAGTAGGTAATGCTGGTATTATTAATTCTGCTTCACAGATGTAAAAATTACACCTCAGTGAAGGCAAATGACCTCCTATCAGTTTAGTGATATGACCCCTAAAGTGGTTAGAAAGGATCTCCCAGGAATTTTGAAGGAAATGCTTTGGGGTTCGTATCTGGCTGATTCAGCAGCAACAAGCGCTAATCAGGGTGAAAGGACGAGGAAATAGGCATTAGTAGGAACAGGGCAGTCTTACTTTTCTCCCCAAAGTAAAAAACTGAGGTCAGAGACTTTGATATCCTGGTTGTCCTACAGTAGAAATGTAATGATGTTAGTACTGGATGCAGTGGGAATTTCCACTGCTTTCCCAGCCCCTCTTAGTATTACCCTCAAAGTGGATCCCCTGCAAAGCCTTCCATTCTCACCCTTAATACTTATGAGAAAACACACACACACACACACACACACACATTTCACCAAATCTATACTCCTAAATTCCCCCATGATTCTGTAATGTAGGTTTGGCAGATCCATACATACAAATCCAGGTTTAAAAATGGGTTTGGAACCTTTCTGTATTACTCAACTGTGAGAATTTTTGGAGGAAAAAAAGACATTCAAACTTCAATAGTCAGGGAAGACTAATTGGAGACTATTAAACACTAATGGAATAATTGCCTTAGAATCATGCTAATAGCTTCCTGGCTGCTCATGTTTACTTGGCCAGTTGCTACAGCTTGAATTAAGTAATTATCTCCACCATTTAAAACCACTCCTGATGTACCACACAAGTGTTTCGATTTAAGGGAACTGCTGCTTGGTCATCCTCAAAGCTTCAGGTTTTCTTAGGTGAAGCAGCTGGAGAGTGAAGAGCTGCCTAATTATTAGCCACCCACTTGGGACAGCTGACTTGGATTACCCAGGGCTTGTGAAAAGAACGACTTGCAGATGTGTGATATTCCCCACCAGGTGTGCAGTTCTGACATCTTTAAACATTTCTCAAGTGTCTGCGTCTTGAACACTTTCAGAGCCAACTCTCTCAGTGGCTGTTTTGCATTTAAATGGCCTCATGATTTGGTATTGACTGGCCTAAGTCATTAAGTTAGTAATCGCTATTAGTAGATTTACTTTCATTTTATTTTTCAAAGGAATGGTACTGTCGGAACACACTGACAGTTCCTCAGATTTCAGTCTCACTTATCTTTTCTGCCTATCTCTGATAACACCGAGCTAAGTTTTCATTAATACATGTTTGTTTAACAATATCCTGGCATTTTGGATTACGAATGATGTGACCTCTCATCACAAGCAGGTGAGAGGATAAACAGGGTTGGAAGCAGGGAGACAAATTATCAAATTCAGGTGAGGGTGAGTCCTGATGAATCTCTGGTGAGTCTGCTGAATTTATGGCATCTCTGAAACCAAGTTCTAATGTTATAGTCATGATGCCTCCAGTACCACTGTAAAGAGGTCCACCATGGGAGCAAGCAAGCTGTTGTTTGATCTGAGATGGGGGTTGGTGATCTGGATCCATGCCACAAAGTCATTCTGCCCCAAATCTAAAAGATCAAGAAGGGTTTTTCTTCCATGAGAGGGGGTCTGTAACACATTTTCTGGTATGTGATGAAAGTGGTCACATAATATAGCAAATCGACCATGTAATAATGAAAGATTGGCCAAGATGTTGTGGGACTGGAACCTCAGAAACAGTGCATGTTTCCTTGGTGTCAGAGGAGGTCACTGAGCTGACCATCAGTTGATTGCAAACTGGACTCAGGCAATCAGAGGTTCCTTACCTCCTCCCGTCCTTGGAATGTACCTTCTGCCCATCATTTCCACAGTGGGAGCCATTTTCAAGGACACACACAGCCTTGGGAGAGCAATGTGTTATTGAGACCATCTGGACAGTGTACATGGCTGAACCTCGTTGAAGCCTCTGTGTAAACTTTTAAGATTCTGGTGGGCAGGTGTGGAGAGCTACTCATCTTGCAGTTGCCCCCAGAAAACTTCCTGTGTAAGTTCCCTGTTTATTAAACCTGCCACCTACCAATCTGGAGTGATCTGCCTTCCTTCTGTCTCTCTTTACCAGTTTTTGAGCCAAAACTTGCACAGGAATTGTTAACTGTACTTTCGATAAGGAACACAGAAATACTTTAGAAATGAATAATTGTTCTTGTAGATTTTGTACACTCTTCTAGAAAATGCTAACACCAGTGAAAAAGGAACAGTGATTCTTAGGGAAACTAGATGTTCAGATAGCCCTGATTTCTGTGTTCTTGTGTTGGCTTTTATTAGTTTTTAATTTCTTTCCTCACAGTGATCTTTTTCTTGCTGTTCCTGGAGCCAACTGTCTTCCTTTTCCTTGTAATTTACTATTTCTGTTTTGATGGGACAATCTACAGGACAAATCTGGGACTAGATCTAATTGCACAAGTTTCTTTTAGACAGCAGGACTTTTTTCTCCCCATCATTTTAGTCTGGATAGTAATTTGGAAGTTAATCTTTCAAAGCAGTCAAAAAGCAACAAAATTGTTTAGGATGAATACTTTCTTGTGTTGCCTTTCTGATTCCCAGTTGTGTTTTTGATTTTGCTAAAAAGAAAAAAAAACTGAAAAATATCTGGAGTGTAATTTACCCTACTAGGGCTTTTTCTTGATAAGTTGAATTGAATCACTGACTATAACTAATCAATATAAAGAGAGACATATGCCATTTTACAGTTCACACAGTGTTTTCTCATTACACGTGTGCCTTTCACATGCACTGTCAACAATCTCCTCAGGCCTTGCTACTCAAAGTTGATCCAAGGACCAGCAGCCTCAGGGCACACAGGTGCTTTGCAGACATGCAGCATCTCAGACCCCAGCCCTCAAAACTGTTTAATCTCAATCTGCATTTTAGCAAGATCCCTAGGTGATTTATATACCCATTTAAGGTTTGAGAAACACTGCTTAGGGTGTCTCTAAGGGGAACCTTTGTGTAAGTAGCAGAACCAAATTTAAATATACATCTTTGACTGAGCTCTTTCTAATGGACCATGCAGTTTATCTGTGAGTGTTCAAATTTACAGTCAGGCTTAGAGCCAGAACCCCATATCTGACTCAAGGCTAATGGCCCAGGT